TCACGCCCACAGAAGGGGCTACCATTCCTGCAAGTTTCATCCAGATCAGGCCAGAAATGACAAAGTTATAAGCTGTTTCTAGCTTCCCCATTATAGCTTACGGGTGAAACATTGAAACAGCGAAAATGTTTTGGTGAAACGAAATGGAACAACAGTTTCGGATTGAAAAAAAATTCAAAACAAAACACTGTTCCATCAAAACGTCAAAATGCAAGTTGGAATGAAACGGTGCTGTTTCGCAGAGCCCTGCTCATTTCCTTACTCACCCAACATAAACCATATCCAGCCCACACTCCATGGATTTTGCTCACAAAACCTTGGAAAATAATGATTTGAACCAAAAATGGATGCATGGAATCTGTTTCTGAAGTTTGATTGGATTTTAAGTGCTGGTCCTGAACCAAAAGGGGGAATACTGGCAGAGTAGGAGTCAGAAAAGCTAGAGGGCTTTCTTTCCACCTTCTGGAAAAGGGAAATAATTCCTTAAGAGTCATTTGCACATTCAGCTTTCTGACCAATGACTAATAGTAAAATAGAAAGGAAATGAGGGATGTGTATGTGACCATGAGCAAAGCTTGCCTCCTGCTCTCCACTGAGCCATGACCCGGTTACTCCAGGAGCTGCCTGCTGTTTTCTTATTTTTTAAGCAAGTCCCTGAGATAATGCCTTGCATGCCAAACAGAACCAGGGAATCAGACTGGAAAAGTTCTGAACTGGAGGGATACTCCCCTTTACATCCTCCTTAGCCCTTGATATATTTCTCCTTTCTCCCCCACCTAAAAACCTGGACAGAAAAATAACTCTTATGTGTACAAGAACACAGGGGGAAATGCTTCTGCACTAACTGTTTTACTGAGTTGAATTTAGATGCTAATTTTGTTGTTGTCATCTTGACAGAACCCAAGAAGAAGAAAAAGGAAGGCAAGAAACAGGAGAAGATGCTGGATTAATAGAAGCCAAGCTGGTCAGCATGAGAAAGGGACATCAGCAGCCACGATCAGTTAACAGTTTCATTTACACCTAGGCATTTTATCCTAAAATTATTTATAGCTTAATGGTACAATAGAAGGAAACAAACAAATACACACAAAAAAAAATCTTTTTTTCCTTTTATTTTACTTTAGTATTTTTAACATATAACCCTAACAATGTTTTTAGAGGCCTGAAATAAAGGACTGTAACTTCCTTTAGAAAAGTATTTCTATTTTATACTGAACAATGTAGAGGGTTTTAAAGAATTTTTTTTCTCAAGTTTTATATTAGGTCTTGATCCTATGAATTAGTCCACACGGGCTAAGGCTTGAGCATACAGAGCCTAACTGTAGTCAATGGAACTTTGTTGTAATGGTGTTTGCCTGAAAGCTGCAATGTTTTAGGATTGTGGCCTTGGGTCAGAAACAAACAAACTTTTCTTTCTTTTTCCTTTTATCTTTTAAATTCTTGTTACGGCTAGAGAGCTGTGTGAATAATCAGCTGGGTAGGGATTTTTGGATATTTGCAGGTAAGATTTTTTTTTTCTGGTCAATCTTCAGGTGAAAGGCCACCATTTCTAGGTTAAAATCTTATTGTCTCTGCTGCTGGCAATTTTCCTTTCTCTGATAGAAAAAAGGTGGGGTTAGCAAAGTCCTGAATTTTCCTTTCCCCCCCCCACAGAAGATGAGAAAGTATTTTTCATAGAAGAATGACAGCAGAACTCTCTTTGTTTTGATATTAAATTCAAGGTGATGGAGAAAAATGTTTTCTTCTCTACCTAAAAATCCTAACACCACCCCCCCCTCCCCAAAATTCTGTTTTTTTTTTTCCAGCAGTGAAAACAGCCCTTTTTTTCCTTACACATTTAACCTGCATTATTGTTTTTGCCTGACTTAGAACTGGTAAAAAAAAAAAAAAAAAAGAAGTATTTACAGCAGAAAATAGCTAAAGGAATGAAAGTAAAAAAATGTCATGGACTATTTGATATTTTGACACAAAATTAAACAACATTTGAGAGGGGCTAGATATAAAAACAAAATAAATTTTTTATTCTCTTTCATTTCCCATTACAGAGAGAGGAGGGTGGGAATGAAAACCAAGACAGTTTTCTGTTTTCATCCATAAATTGGAATAGTTCAGCCAAAAAATATTTTGTGGGGAAAAATTATATGGAAACAGTTTGAATGGCTGTAATTTCAACAGGTGCTGAATCTCCTCTTCTGAGGGGAGGGGAGTCCTCTTTCTTACCTTTTGACCATTATTCAAAATGATTGTGAGATCAGGGGAAAGACCCATTTCTTATGAGCTAATTTGCTATCCAGCTGGCTCCTTGAAGATCTCACCATGTGGTGGATTGGGAAGAGGACTGGTTTTCGCACAAGGCAGCTTTTAGACTGACATTTTCAAAGGAGCTAAAGGAAGTTCAGTGGCCAAATCCCATTGAATTTTGCTTTGAAAATCACAGACTAAAAGAAGAAGGGAGGGACTACGTAATTTGTATGATCAACAGGCTGCCAATCTCATAAGAGTTGGGGGACCCTGCCAAACTCCACTCATTTCCATGGTGCTGCATCAGACATAGTATAAGCAAACAACATGAATTATATTCACAAAGCTTGCAGAAATAGTGAGGATTTTTTCTTACGCTAACCTCCCACATGCCTCCCTACCCCAAACAAACTCCGGGACAGATCTTCCTCAGTTATGTCTACATTGCAGTCAATATGTAAGTACAATTCACATGGACATATTTGAATTGATTTTATATCAACTAGGTTGGGTACTGAGAGCAGTAATGCCATAACAGCCCAGATATTTGCCTGGACTATCAACCAGGTATATGCCTGGTGTTGGGGACATTTTGCCTGTAATTCATGCTGAGTTCCATGTGCTCTGGCTACACTGTTATTGTTACCTGAGCTTGAAATAGATATTTGGGTTGGCCAACATTTAGAGCAGATGAGCAAAAATAAAAGCCTATTAATATATTTAATTAAACTTGACACACCCTGAGGCTGTGACTGGTAGGCCTAGATGCAAATTGGCCCACCTTTGGCTACGCCTCTGACATCAACTAAGTAGCTGCAGCTATCTGAGCTGTAGTCATGCATTGACTGCATTGTAGGCATATCCTGAGAGAGGATGCTTTTGGCTATGCCTTAGAGCAGAATTTGAGAACTGCTTCGGTATGTCTCTGGAGCTCTTCCTCGTGTCCTACAGTTAGAAACTGTTTGATATACAAGCAGTGGGGGATTCAGTTGCTGGGAGAGAACATGGTTATAGGAGAATAGGAGCTTTTCACTCGCCAAAGGCGTGTCTACATACTGAACTAATTTAGCCGGTACAGCTTTTAAATTTGGTTTCCAATGGTCAAGGTTGCTATCAAGAGTCAAGAATGCAGCGAAGACAGCCAGCCTGATTGTTCCTGCAGATACACTGATTTTTATAGTCATAGCTCCTTGTTTCTACCAGGTAGAACTGAAAAGAGAACCATGTGTTTAGCCCCTTGGGGAGTGCTCACTTATCACCTCATGACATGATCAGCAACCCATCAGGCTGATTAAAAGAATCTTAACAGGGTCTACAGGAAACCCACTGAGTCCTCATTATCAAGAGGATGATGGCAGTGATGCAGGGCCTCAACAGAGTTTAAAGAGGAAAAATTAAAATATCCTCATGGCTCCAGGACAACAGTGCAGAAAATCCCTTGTTGTGGAGGAAATAAAGATGTGGGGCGATGAAAATGTTTCCAGTGTGCCACCAGCCATAGAAGATCAGATACATACTGGTACTGGTATCAATAACCAAAGTAAATATTTCGTACTTCACAAAAGGGAAGAAAATATCTAGCAAATCAGCCAGAAGAATTCCACAGGGTGGCCTGGATGATGGTAGAGAAGAGACGCACTAATTTTGCCAAACCAGAGAAGACAGTTACAATTCACCTTTCAAAAGAAACAGAACAGCCAGGTCAGCTGTAAAAAAAGGCACCTGGGTGTGAGTTGACCTAGAAAACTGGTCCAGCTGTTTTGCTAGTGAAGTTAAATTGCAAAACAAGAGAAAAGTTTCTGAATACATGTTCACTCTCCATCCATCCTCTCTCCATCTGCCCGGAGTCATTTGGCAGATCCTACCCATTCATTTCTTTATCCTATAATCTCCCATTGTCTTACAGAGGCTTCCACAATGGTTACCTTCCAGCTAAGGAGGGAAAGTATGTCTTTCCTTCTCCTAAAATTATATATATATATATAATTTTAGGAGATGGAAAGATACTTTCCTACACACACAAAATATGTTTAAATCAAGAATAAATTGGCATACTAGCACCGAATTTACTGAAACAATCAATGTATCCCACCTAGGGATTAAGCCATTATTTTAATCAGTTTAATGAAATAAGCTAGAGTTATCTGTTACTAGGTGAGAGTTCCACACCAGGATTTATATTCTTCGATTTAGACTCTGAAACTTTTTGGTTTTTGGCAGCTGTGCTCTATGTCTCTAATGTGTTGAATCACCTCCCCAAAACTTCAGGGAAGCCCATATTATGGTAGGGACTCAAATAGGTTAGGCCACTGTCAAGTTTGACATTTCTCTTGATAGAAGTACCCTGTGCTGAAAGGGAGTTCCTGTTTGAACTTTGCATTGTCTCACTACCAGTCAGCATCTTCTGCTTTTATAGTGCCACTCCTGTTGGTGCTGTTTCTTTTTCAGGGGAGGACACTATTTTCATTTTGAGAACAATATAAATCATTAATCAGGGAACAGCTTCAGAAGGTCCTGGTCAAGAATTGCTGGGTGCTAACTCAGAAACACCTTATTCATGCTCCTTCTGTTTATTTCTCCCATCATATATCTTTCTTTCCAGAGAGCAGGGAAGGTGGGAATTGGGTGAAACTTTTGCTTCCATGCTTTGTTTCAATGGTGCCAATATGGAAACTAAGCAAATTTGGACTTCAGACAACATGGAAGCCTCCCCCACTCCTCCTCCTCACCGTGATCTGGACATTAATAGGAAATATAAAAAGATGGGAGCGGTAGTATGATCATTTCCTCAGCTTTAAGAATTCAAGTGGTTAAGACTAATAAGAGAAATGCTAATCTATTTTTTTTTCAACTTGATGGAAATTTTTTCCTTCATCATTTAGCCTCAGGTCATGGACAATTTGAATAAAACAATGGTGCATTAATTGGTAATGAACCCAGGGGAGAACAAATATTTTCCATGTGAAAACAGCCCTCTAAAAGCCAAGTAATGCAGTGCTGAAAACCAGGCTGTTTATCTGGGAGTTACTGAGGGTGAACGTAGTGGATCTATCTATCCTCCTATTGCTTAGGAGAATTCTTTGACAATCTCTTAGATTCCTCTGTGGTTTCTATTAGGCTAAAAGCTCTGAGGAGGAAACAGCATGCTCCTTTGTTCCTAGCATGGCATGTGTAAGTATGATATAACATGGTTTGTATTTTCTGAGGTGCTGCTGGAATCGCTCTGCAACTATATCAGTTATGTAAACCTGCCAAGGTTTGGTTTTAGTGAATATTGATGAGATTTCAACAGAAAACAGAAATGTTCCAAACGTCCCAGAACTGTGCAGGGAGGAGAAGGAGGGTTGGGGCTACGGGTATCAGAAATCTCTTAGTCCTTCCAGAGCCCACCAAGGGGTGATCTCCTATAAATCTGGAGTAGTCGTGTCTAAAGGAGGATATTTCCCTCCAAGTTTCATCAGTGTTTCAGACTTACTCTTTGATCTGGCCAAGAAATTCCTCCCAGGGTTTTGAATGCATTACTGGGGCTTTTTCTCCCAAAGTTGGGAGAATGTTCTGAAGGTCAGGATGGGGGTTCTCATGCTGAACATGCAAGATGCTGGTGGTAAGAGAGATTCATGTGTGACCTGTGTGAGCAACCTACTCCCCCCAGTACCAGGAACGGATGCCCACAACTAAACCTTGCTCTCTGTTTCTTCCTGAGAGACAAAGAATTATGGGATCAGGATGATTTTCATATCCATTTAATAAGATATGTACAACATTAAGTTGAAAAATAATGACACTAAAACAAGAGAAGGTGGGTTTCCAAATTCTGTGGGAAGATGGACTTCTGTTAGTGTTTCTAATCAAAGGGTTTCTTTAATTGGTGGCTTCCTAGTGGACAGGAAACATATTCAATATAAAGAAAAATTAGAGCTTACAGTGTGATCAAAAACATCCTCAAAAACAGCTTCTTTCAGATTAAGCTGGGGAATCAGTAGAGAAGACTGCATTGCAAGCAGTCAAGTTAAAGTGTGGGTGGGTGGTGCGGGGGGAAGGGTAGACCTTTAGATCCAGATGGAAAACTGAGCCAAATCAGGGGACAGCGAAATAAATCATTAGTCATTCATGTACTTTTTAAATTTGGATTTAGAAATGATCTGGACCTCTTGCTTCTACTAGCCGAAAGCTTAGGATCCTGTTTGTAATGCCAGGGTGACTGTGAGTAATCCCAAAGCTCTCATCCTTTTACTACTACCTTCCTTCCACGCATATTCCAAAACCTTCAGCTTTGTCCTCTGTCTCCTTCATTCTAACCTCAAACACATTTGACAATCTATTTGTTCCAGAGAAAAGCTGAAATGCCCTAGTATATTCTTCACTATTTCCCCTCTTTGGAGGGTTGAACTGGCTCTTTAGCACTGGCTTTCTGTTCTACATTTGACTGTAGAGCTCCATGAAATGAAGAACAGATCTGCATCCAACACAATTCTTCCAGCCCACGGCTCCTTGAAGGCTGAATGAGCTGCCTATGGTATGAATATGCTCACGATTCTCTCATTAAACAGTTGGTAAAGAAGTCCCCGTTTTCAAGTGCGATTGCTTATTTTCCGTCTTTGATGATGACCCAAGATAGAATTTTCTGAAGACGCTTCAAAAGGTTCTTCAGGGTTCAGACTTGTGTAGAGAAGGCTCCTGCACCCAATTCCATGAGGAAAGCTGGAGAATTTACAGCCTGTGCCAGGCTTCATACCCATAGCTATCTTCCTAATTAATTACTTGT